GTGCTGGAGGTTTCTGTTTTTTATTGCTTCTTCAAGCTGGAAGGGGCTATAGACCCTACCTACTGGCCATTATGTACTCTCCAACTACCTTGGGATGCTGTGATTCACTGGCTGGGTTAAATAAAGAAAAACTTGTCAGAAAGCAACAAGAGTTAATGACCATCAACCTTCATTATTAGCCTAAATATGAGGAGTAGATTAGGGTTAGGATTAGGGCAGATAAGATTTCCATGCTTCCTGTAATGGCACCTGCAGTCTTGCTTTTTGAAGAGAAATCTCAGGTTTTCCAGAGGCTCACAGGAGTAGCTTTCTCCTTTTAGGTGATCTTGTTCTTCAGACAGTTCCAATGTGACTGCCTTAGAAAGGTGAATCCAGTTATCTATCTCTGCCACCTTGACTGCAGTGGGTATGGCAAGGATTACTGAACAGGGCCCCTTCCATTCTCTCCCAAGTTTTTACCAGCACTTGGTCTCCAGGATGGACAGTAGGTGGTCCTTCTGGGCCAGGAGCTGAGGGGTCTCTCTTCCCATACATTTGGATAGACTGTTGTACTTGGCCCAGATTAACCACTTACCAGTCCAGTTGTTTAACTACAGGATGACCAAAAAATTTCATATTTACTTCATTAATTTTTTTTTTTTCTGGTACGGGGATTGAACTCAGGACCTTGCGCTTGCGAGGCAGGCGCCAGAACCACTGAGCTAAATCCCTGGCCCTTCATTAATTTTTATAAGGTAATATAACAAGAAATATAAAAATGACAATGTTATCAGATTTATTTAATACAATACAAGAGTTGACTGGTTGAAAAGACACCTTCTTGAGCAATGCTCTGGATAGTCAGTATGTAAACAAACCCATTGCCCAAATGATGCATGGGGTAAACTGTTCAGTGGTTAATGAGATATGTAAGAGCCTTATGGTTTCTGGTTCTATCATATCAGAGAATAGAAATGTCCTCCTGTATAACTTCTCAAATGGGCTCAAACTTAGCCCAGTTTTGGGCATGTTACAAACGCTCATGAGGGCTGGGTATTTAGCTCAGTGGTTCCACCGCCTGCCTTGCAAGCCCAAGGTCCCAAGCTTAATCCCCGGTACCAAAATCAAACACTCAGCACTATTGATAGAACTCTGCTGTCTCTTGGCAAAGTTTTGCCAGAGCTCACTTTAGGGTCTGGTTGGCTCTACCTTTCCAGAAGATTGAGGCTGCCAGGAGGAATGGTGGTGGTACTTTATTCCTAAAGGCTTTGCCATCCCCTGAGTTATTTGGGACTTAGAAAAAGGACCATTGTCACTCTAGAAGGATTGAGGAAGTCCAAATCTAAGCATTACTTCTTTAAGAAGCACTTTGACTACATCTGTAGCTTTTTCTGAACGGGTAGGATAGGCTTCAGTCTATCCTGTGAAGGTGTCAATTAGAACCAACATCTGTTTAAATCCTCCACATGGTGGCATATAGGTAAAGTCTAATTGCCAGTCCTCCCCAGCATTTGTTCCTCTCTTCTGTACAGGTTCTAATTAAGGAGGTGGTTTGGGGTTGCCCAGGTTATTGTAGGTACAGAGCAAGCAAGCTTTGCACACCTGTTGGCTGGTTGCCATTAGTCCTAATCCTGTGAAAACTTGAGTGACCATTTCCAGTGTAGCATCTCTTCCCATGGGGAAGGAATCATGAAGTATTTTTATAGCCTTCCACTGTGTCTCTTGAGGAAGGACCAGTTTGTTTTCTAAATACCACAGAGTCCCTTTTTAATTCCCCCATCCTAAGGCCCATTTGTTTTGCTGGGGAGTATAGACTGGCTTTTCCTCAGGAACTGGGAGTAAGGGTAGACTCTTTATGGGATGTAAGGCTGCCCTTTTTGCTTCCCTATCAGCCTTTTGATTTCCCAAGAATTCAGACATGCCACTTTTGTGCCCTTTATAGTGCATGACTGCGATCTCCTTGGGAACAAGGACTGCCTCTAGGAGTTGTAAAATTTCTCACCTGTGCTTGATAGATTATTCTTTATTAGTCAATAAGCCTCTTTCCATCTACATTGCTGCATGGACATGTATCAGAAAGGCATATTTGGAATCTGTAGAAATAATTAACCTTCTGCTTTTTTCCTTTTATCAATAACCAAGTAAGAGCTATTAGCTCTGCCTTTTGAGCAGAGGTTCCTGAAGGAATAGTTTTAGTTTCATTGACCTATTATGAAGTGACAACTGTATAACCTGCCTTTCGGTGTCCTTCTTGGACGAAGGCACTTCCATCAGTGAACCATACCTCTTCAGGTTTTTGGAGGGGCAGATCACTGATGTCCTGCCTACTTGCATAGCTCTGGGAAATGACTTGTTCACAAGAGTGGTTACCTTCTGGGCCTGTAGGCATTGAAGAAGTAGGGTTAATAGTAGTGCAAGTGTTTATAATAACCTCACATGTGTCTAAGAGCATGGCCTGATACTTAGCTGTTCCCCTGTTAACTACGAGTAAACCTTTTGTCTTCAAAATAGCTCTCACCTTGGGCTGGGGATTTAGCTCAGTGGTTCTGGCGCCTGCCTCCCAAGCACAAGGTCCCGAGTTCGATCCCCGGTACCAAAAAATAAAAAATAAAAAAAATAGTTCTCACCTGCTGGGGAGTCAGGACTTCTAATTTCTTTACCAAAGTTGACTTTGCAGCTTCTGTTAGTACAACTTCAAAGAATCTCTGATTGGGGTCCCTTGATCCCAACTGTGGCTATAGATCCAGAGAAGGGTTTTCTAGAGAAATAAGTCAAAACAGAGTGAAGCAGGACCGGAGATTTAGCTCAGTGGCCCTGTGCCTGCCTTGCAAGTGCAAGGTCCTGAGTTTGATCCTCGGTACCAAAAAAAAAAAAAGAAAAGAAAACAGAATGAAGCAATTGAATCGGTTCACCCATGACATCTGAGATTATCCAGGGTTCCTCGGAGGAGACAGTGATGTCCATGGATGGGGCATTGCAGGGTCCCCTGTGCCTCTTCAGTCATCAGAGCAGGAAATAAGGGTTCTGGCTAGCCTAGCCCCTCTCTGAGAGTGGGACACTCAAACTTCCAATGCTAGGACTCAGGAGCATTACCTGTCTCACATACTTATCAGGGCCCAACTGGAAGCTTGCTGCAATCTTATGCCCAGTGTATAGTCCTCTTACACTTCGAACAGGAACCTTTTCCCTGGTTGTCCCTGGGTTTTTCCTTAGACGATCTGGGTGAGTTTAAAGCATTGCCAACTTCAACAACTATAATTTTAATCTTTTTCTTTTGTCCCTCCTCTGGGTCCCAATTGTTGAACACAGAAAAGGCCACACATCCAGCAATTGGGCCATAGGGGTCTGTGGGCCCATCTGAAGTTTTTGTAGCTTATACCAAATATCTGGGGTGATTGACAGATAAATACATGGACAACAAGGACCTACAGAGTGAACATAAGCAACGAGAAAGAAAAACAAAAGCATACATGCCCTTCTCCCATCCCTATGGCAGGGCCAAGAAGCCCCTCCTTGGTACCTTGAGAAGAGTCCCCTGATTCCCGGCCTAGGGGAGAGAGCAAGGGAAAGAGAGAAGAAAAACAGCCTTTTGGAGAGAAAAATTGAGTCCAACACGGGCCTTACCTTGGTCTCTGGTACCTGAGTCTTACTCCTGGCTGAATACACCAAAATGTTATCTGGTAGCTCCTTCTAAAAGTGGTTCACCAGATAAACATTACTGGGTTTTGAGTTGCTCAGCTCTCCTGAAGTTAGATTCCAGGTTCTTCTTATCTCAAACAAAGAACTGAACAAAAAGGCCAAATTTTATTTGAAAAAGTAAAAGTGAAGAGTGAGGGAGAAACTGACTCTGTAAAGCGAACTTGGGCCAAGTAAAAGAGGAGGAAACAAGATAAAAGTACACCCTGGAGGATGCAGGGTGGGCTTTTGTAAGGAAAGCCATGATAGCAAGCCTCATAGAGTTTATAATAAAAGGAAATTAGACATTGCAAACCTGTGTGGTTTGATAAGAGAAGTATAGGGTAAGATAGGGTTATATCAAAAGCACCTTTATCTTTATTCAGGAGGATGAAGAAGGCCTTTCAGAGGGAGCAATATATTTTAAGACCTATGGTATTGTAAATGGGAGAAGACTGGGGACAATTTCCTGCCGTGGGATGCCAGAGTTCCCAGTATGAAGGAATGTGTCCAAGAACAAGAGGAAGCTCCTCCACGTGAATGAAAATGTCTAGTAGGCGGGAAAGCTAAAGAGGAGTCAGTAGGAAGACCTCAAAGAATTTAATAAAATTCCCAACCAATATAAGTAAAAAAAAAAAAAAAAAGATGTTGTGTCAGAGCATGTTAGTGTGTGTGTGTGTATAGAAGGTTCTGTTTACTAGTGAAAAACCAGCTTTGTCAACTGTCACATGGCTGTTGTCACTGATGCCAAAACTGACAAAAGCAGGATCCTGCAGTCTCATGTGGAAACCCCCTTGTATAGATTAATCAGGATGGTGGAGAAGCTAAGAAAGTTCTGAAGGAAAAAACACATTTAAAAAAATACTAGTCTTTCTACTGTTCATTTATTTTTTTCTCAACTTCTTCCCTTGAAATATTAATTTTTTTAAAAATACTTTCAAACAAGTATCATCTATAATAAGCAAGTTTCAGAGTCCTGGACCAGGGATTTAGCTCAGTGGGACCTTGCCTGCAAGGAACTGAGTTCAATCCCCTGTACCAAAAAAAAAAAAAATGGTTTCAGAGTCCTTGTCTGTTTGCTAACTGTTTTGGCTCACAAAATGATTTTCATAAGACCAGGGAAATACATACATACTTCCTTTTTTGTCTACCTTAAAACACACTCTATAGTATGAATGACTTCAAAGATGTAAGAGCATTTAAATACCTCTCTCCAGTGTTATGAGTGGATCTCATCTTTAATCTCTGAAACACATGTCTAGCTGATCTTTTATCATAAGATAATGTCTATAAGGCCTTTTTCGAAAGAAGATGCATATTAACATTCTGTGTTCTTTTTCCTCTAGATACTTTTTTTTGGATTTGGGTGGCTTTTCTTCATGCGCCAATTGTTTAAGGACTATGAGGTGAGAACAAATCGTTATGTTATATGAATGGAGAGTCTTTTAAAAGGAGACAAGAAAACATCCTCATTAAAGAAAGATCATGTTCACTTCCAAGACAGCAAGTTTTTGCCAAATGAGTACTGTGTAGCTATGAAGCTGCAGAATATGATTAGGCTTAATAGACTTTAAAACAACAAAAAATTAAGTCAAAAGTCCAAAAGCTAATAGCAAGGAGTGTCACCCTTGTCGTATCTGGACACACACCAATAGACAGTTACTCTTTGGGAGAGTAATGTCTTATAAGTGTTCTCTTTCCTTTGTCTCTCTAGCCCTGAATTACCAACCTTACATTTAAAATTAATATCAAAATCTCAAAGTTGATCTGGTTCCTATTGTAAGCCTTGGATTCAGAAAATCACCACCCTAGACTGTATATATTCTAATTCTTTTTATTTAGTAATCAGATCAGTGCTTATGGACTACCTTTGGGCCATTTCTATTATGTTCTACATTAAACCTTTCCAGGGAGCTTGGGTAGTTTCTGAAAGAGCCCAGAATCCTGGAGATTCTGTTCAATACTTTAAGTCTTCCTAGGTAAGGTTCCAGAACTGATCCAAGACATTGGGTGGGGTCAGTGTGCATCAGGAATTCTATGTGCTACTTCTGACTCTGTTTCTTCATCTGCTTGTGCTTTAATTATCAGCTCAAAATTTCAAGCAAGGAAATAACTGACTTCTGGTCTCTTTCTGGCTTTTACTAGGTGCGTCAATATGCTGTACAGGTGATCTTCTCTGTGACTTTTGCATTTTCTTGTACCATGTTTGAGCTTATCATCTTTGAAATCTTAGGAGTACTGAATAGCAGGTGAGTAAGAGTACTAAATAACTCTCTTGAAGAGTCTGTGCTAATTTCTTTATGGTAGAAGAGTCGCCTGGATCCCATAACTGAAAAAAGAGCTACCATTTGTCTCAGTCACTGCAATGAGCACTGTAAATATGGGTCCTAGGCATCTAGTAACTGGTTTGGCAAAGATTATGAATGAAATACAGGAAAAAAAATGACTGTTGAAATAAGACTGTAAAAAACTAGGTCCCAGGCTTCCCTTAGAGAAGTTTTATTTTTCTCAGGCTGTTCTCTAGCTGAACCCCAATAATGCCGTTTCATATTGAAAAATCTCTGAAAAGATCAGAATTCCTCAGAACTACTTAACTCTATTCCCTTTCAGATAACAGCCCTGCTGGTTTATTAGACAACCTATCTAAAATATTTCTTGTTTGTTAAACTACAAGTATCTGTATGAGGAGTTCATCAGCTAGGCTATGTTAGCTTGTATTGTGCTTTTTTTTTCTTTGCAATACTGAGAATTGAACCTAGGACCTTTACACTGACCTACATCCCCAGTCCTTTTTTTTTTTTTGGAGACAAGGTTTCACTGAGTTCCCAAGGCTGGACTCAAACTTGCAGTCCTCCTGCCTCAGCCTCCCAGAGTGCTGGGATTACAGATGTGAGCCACCTCACCTAGCCTATTTGTACTAGAATCTTTTACAAATGAAGTCATCTTTCACTCTTGTCAGGAGTCAGTGCTGATCTAAGCTTAAGTTTAGTATAGGCCCCTGACACTTGAGACTTATAGGAAGATTGTATTCTCAAATCTTTTAAGAATCAGTCAAAAAATTTTTTTTAGTTTTAAAAACTTAAAATACATATGATTGCAAAATATTGAAAGATTGAAAAGAGTTGATAATTTTGGTCTTGTGATAGATCAATTAATAATAATTAATAACATGTACTATAGATAAAACAGGAATATATTTTGACTCCCCTTTTAAGCTTGTTGTTTAATAATCCAAACTTTTTTCATGAACCAGATATAGATCCAGAGGCCAATATTTTACATGCTGGTTATTAAACTGTTGTCACAGCCCTCCTGTTTCACTACTATGTAAGCAGAGGTTGTCAGAGACTTCAGTGAAGGGCGAGATAGTAAATGTTTTAGGCTCTGTGGGCCATAGAATTTCTATCATGGCTACTCAACTCTGCTATTGTAATTGAAAAGCAAGCATAAGAATAAACAGATGGGCATGGCTGTGCTTTAGTAAAACCTTGTAAAAATCAGTAGCAGCCAGGGCATAGTTTGCTGACCACTAATCTAAATAGTTTTAGAACGGACTATGGCTCAAATAGTCTGAAATCTTAGTTACTGTTTTTGGTAAATTATGTCCCTCAACTTTTAACTCATAAGAAGAAACATCAGTTACACTGTGGTGTATATTTTTCAGGTATCTTGAATATGTAGTTATCTTAAAGAGTAGAGCAATTAAGAGCCGGGGATTTAGCTCAGTGGTTCCACCACCTGCCTCGAAAGCACAAGGTCCCGAGTTCGATCCCCGGTACCAAAAACAAACAAACATAGAATCTTGTTAGGTTAACTTTTAGTTGGCAATCCAAGTTACACTTGGAACCCTTGTCATTTAAAACCCACTGCCTCCCAGTCAGTATCTTTCAAAAGTTTGGTTAAAATACTATGTACAAATACCTGGAGGAAGTACAGTTTGTTTGCCTCTCTAGATGCACTAAACTGGGCTAATCCCAGAAAAGCAGAAAGCTGCCAGTATAACTAGACTAAATGGTTTTGGTTTCCTGTGGGGTAGCCTTTACTGAATGGTTCTGTTTTATGATGCCTGTCTTTATTAAGAGGAGAATAGTAAGAAACAGCCCTCTGTAACTCATTGATATTTGTTTTGAGAAGATACTATTCAGGATGTTGTTAGTTGTCCTCACATATTTTCCTTATAAAATCTTCGGAGAAATTTCACTGTTGGTAATAATTCAATAATTATAAATCAATAATATTTATGCATCCTTTGAGAAAAATGGTTTATTTTCTTACAGAGTTTATGATTTTATCTAACTGATCTGTGGCAGTGGAGGGGAGTGTCAACTTGATTAGCTTTGGGGTTCACCTGGAAGATTGGTAGAGCACACTTCTGGGTGTTTCTAGGGGGTCGTGGAGTCAGATTTGGGGTACTATGTATGGTCCCCGGCTCATTTCCTGGTTTCCACTGTTCTCCTGCTCTACTTCCCCAGCTGTGAACTGAGCAGCTTTACTCTGCATGCTCTTCCACCACAATGTTTCTCCCTTGTAATCCACTAATCGTGGACTGAATCCCTTTAAAATGCAAGCCAAATTAAATCTCTCCTTTAAGTTGGGTGTGTCGGGTTTTGTATCAGTGATAGGAAAGCTGACTAATACATGATCAAACTATGTGTTTCATATTGAACACGAGAAAATGTAAAACTAAATTTGTAGGCCACCCCATATCAAGTTTAGGCCTGGCCCAATGTACCTTAGTTCACAAACTTAATTTGTGCTACAGTTTTGGAAAAGATGGCCACGTTTATGTTTGTGTGGGAAAGGTAGCCATGGTTGTTTGTCACCTGATGCAGAGTTTACAAACAAAAACAAAATTTTGCCATATGGCTTCTGTTTGAGAACCAAATTGTTTGCAAATGAAAGTGTTTCTGAACCAAGGTACCACTGTATTTTATCTGTCTTTTACATTGCTCCTTTCCTTCATATGTCCTTATAGTTTATTTCCTCATCCTATGTTTTATATAGCCTTGTGAGCCAATTAACTGCTTAGTCATTTTTTTAAAACTCGGCCTAACTTTACAATCAAATAGAAAGGACACTATCAAGAAAGTGAACAGACATCTCGAGAATAGGGGGAAATTTTTGCAAATCACCTGATAAGAGATTTCTATCTAGAATATATTAAAAACTAATAATTTAATATTAAAAACAACCCATTTTTACAATGGGCAAAGAATCTAGGCATTTCTCTAAAAATGATGTACAAATGGCTGATAAATACATGAAAAGACATGTGAATCAGAACCACTAGAATTGCTACAATCAGAAGACAGATGGTCAGAAGTGTTGCCTCAGCTTAGGGGAAATTAGAAACTTCATACACTGTTGGGGAAAATGTGAAATGATACAGCCATGTTGGGAAACAGTGGCAGAACCTCGAGGAGTAAGTATAGATTTACTATATGATCCAGGAATTCCATTCCATTCCTACTTAAAGAGAAGTGAAATATGGCTACACTAAAAGCTGGGTGAGAATGTTCATAACATCACTATTTGTAATAACTAAAAGGCGAAACCCAAATATCTATTGACTAATAAATGATGAATAATGGGATGAATATTATTCAACCATGAAAAAAGAAATGAATTATTGATAGATGCTACAACATTAGGTGAGAAACATGCTGAGACATAAACTAATCATAAAAGCCATCTATGATTCCTTTCACATGAAATGTCCAAAATAGGTAGATCCACAAAAACAAATACTATGGTTATTTTGGTGATTTCCTAAGGTTGGCAAGATTGAGGAGAAATGAAAAGTGACTGCTAAGAGGTACAGGATTTTTTTTTTTTTTTTTGAAGTAATGAAAAAGTTCTGAAGTTGATTGTATTGATGGTTCTACAGATCTGTGAATATACTAAAAATGATTGAATTATACACTTTAAATGTACTAACAATATCTCAAAGTTGTTGTATAAGTGTATGTGCTTAAAATATAAGATTTTATAAACATCTGTAAGTCATGCAAATCAGCTGTTTAAGAATACAAAATAAGTACTTCCAAATCCTTTTGAGGTGTATTACTATTAATATTTATTTTCCTTTAAACTTTATATTGGAATATGATTCCTAGTGGTGAGTGAAATAAGTCATTCTATCAGAAATGGCACGTGTTGATGTGTTATGTTATACATCACCTATGTAATGTATAAACATTATTGTTTTATTGGGGAAATTATTAGGAGGCTAAGATGGACGTATATACCATTCAGAAATTTGTAGTTTTTAATCTCTGCCAGTGAGTAGATAGTAACAGCTTTATTGGCTATTATATGAGTTATATTTAACATTGAGTTCAAAGAGCAGAAATCCTTTGGAAGACTAAAGACAATGAAGTTGTTCCCTTTCTCGCGCCCAGTGATATTCTTTGACATCTATTTCAGCTCCCGTTATTTTCACTGGAAAATGAACTTGTGTGTAATTCTGCTGATCCTAATTTTCATGGTACCTTTTTACATTGGCTATTTTGTTGTGAGCAACATCCGACTATGTGAGTATTTCACCTGCTCATTTTAGCACATAGATGAGTATTCTTGGGGATTAGGGTTGGGGACAACTTCATTCCTACATTACTTTCATAGCTGCTACTATTTGGAGGCACCTCCCTGCACCTTATGAACATTGAATGGATGATTAGGTTATTTGTCCTCCCAAAGCTTTATCCCTGCTGCTACTGTAATGTCTCTTTTAACTCACTCCGCATCTTAATTTTGTCCAAGTTTCTTTCATGGTGGGAAGGACACCTTCACTAAAAAATTGTATAATTCCATCATTCATTTGCCAAGTAAAGAAGCCAACTAAATATTAATTAGCATAAGCTCCTATTTTGGGGGGGTTACTGGGAATTGAACTCAGGACCTTGTGCTTGTGAAGCAGGCGCAGCACCATTGAACTAAATCCCTGGCCCTCTTTTTTTTTTTTTTTTTTTTTTTGGTACCAGGGATCGAACTCTGGTCCTTGCGCCTGCATAGCAGGTGGCAGAACCACTGAGCTAAATCCCTGGCCCTATAAGCTCCTATTTTTATAGAGCAAGCTCTTTAATATGTTTTTGCTAACAGCCTCATCTCCTCTGTCTTAGTGCATAAACAGCGACTGCCTATTTCCTGTCTCTTATGGTTGACATTTATGTATTTCTTCTGGAAACTGGGAGATCCATTTCCCATTCTCAGCCCAAAGCATGGTGAGTATATGGAAAATGAGGGAGTGAGAAGAGGGTTGGTTAATTTTTAATTTTGAAAAAAATGTTTTTTAAACTTCTGGTTGTGGGAAATACAGCACATTTTTTCTCTAAAATGTCTAATTTTTAACCAAATTTTCTCCTTCATTCTAAAGGGTATCAAGTGCTGGTTTTGGAACAGACATCTATAATTCTAGAGGAGTTTTTGACCTTGACTTAGTGAAAACATTTCAAGGGTTTGAGAGACATAGAAAGATGTTCTTAATTTAAATGTCCTGATAATACATCCAGAATTACGGGAATATATGCATTAGCCATCTTTCTGTTACTATAACAAAATACCTGAGGTAATCACCTTTGGCTCATAGTTTTGGTACATAGTCACTTGGCCTGTTGATTTTGGCCTGTAGTGGGAGAGGAAGCTGCTCACCTCATAGCAGTCAGGCAGCAAAGAAAAGAGAGGCTGGGGTCTCTGTTCCTTTCATGAGCATGCCTGCCTATGACCAGAAGACTTCCAACGAGGCCCCTCTTCTTACAGGATCCACTGCCTCCCGACAGTGCCAGGAGCTGGGGACCAAGCCTTAAACACGTGGGCCTCTGGGGGGACACTTATCCTAATCGTAGTAGTATGTTTATTTGGAGGTGATACATTGATAAGCTTTTATCAGATTTCCAAAGAAGTCTGTGACCCAAAGGTAAATGGCCATTGTTCAAATGATGACAAAAATCATCTTTAGGGTAGTGTGCATGCCTGTAGTCTCAGCAACTTGGAAGACTGAGGCAGGAGGATCACTTGAGACCATGAGTTTGAGACCAGCCTATGTAACACAATAAGACACCCCACCACCACCATTGACTTTAGGGAGTTTTTTTTTTTTCTGCTGTACGAGAGATTGAATCTAGGGCCTTCTCATCCAGGCTTTTTTTTTTAAGGTTTTTATTTTGAGAAAGTGTCTCGCTAAGTTGCCCAGACTGGGCTCAAATTTGTGATCCTCCTACCTCAGCCTCCCAGAATGCTGGGATTACAGGCATGGGCCACCATGCCCAGTGGGAATGTATTTATTTAGGGAGTGAGAGCTTACATAAAATGCTCACAATGAGTAGATAAAGAAAAGATTTCCAAAAATCAGTCTTTAACCAAAAAAAAAAAAATTCATTTTAAATACAAGAATTTTAGCAGAGTGAGCCCTAATTTCTGTTTAAAAACAGCGAACAAAAATCTCTCGTGTAACAAGTCCTTCCAGAATATACTTCAGAAGTTTGTATGAGTATATGAAGTATATACACCTTTCATCCATCACTTTTTCTAAATTCCCTGGGAATATCCTAAAAGGGACACATGGGGAAAGCTAGGGAGCTAGTTTCAGTTTTAATCTTTCCTTCACACTCCAATCATTAGACGTTTTAGTTTTATGTTGGAATTTCAGGTGTCTTTAACCCCTTAAGAAAAGAAAATAGGAAGAAAAGTTTAGTCAGTGCAGTAGCTGAAAAACAGCCAAGCCTACACGGCCACTTCAGAGCTTTCCTGGGACTATCCAAGCAACTAATATGGTTTATTGATGTGGAGGCCTCAAAAACTGTAAGACGCAGAGCTTACAAGGAAAAATACATCTGGTCAGGTGCAGTTGCACATGCCTGTAGTCCCAGCTACTCAGGAGACTGAGGCAGGAGGATCACAAGCTCTTGGTCCTCCTGGGCAACTTAGTAAAACTTTGTCTCAAAATTTTTAAAATAGAATAAAAAGGGCTGAGGGTATAGCTCAGTGGTAGAAGGTCCCTAGATTTGATCCCTGGTACCCCACAATAAAAGTCTGTGAAAGTACTTCCACAATGGCAGAAACTAGGAAAGTTGGGAGGCATTCTACAGTGGAAAAATGCAGACTGAGAGGGCCAGGGATTTAGCTCAGTGGTTCCACTGCCTGCCTCGCAAGCGCAAGGTCCCAAGTTCAATCCCGGTACCAAAAAAAAAAAAAAGAACTTTCAAAATGCAGACTAAGAAAGTGTATAAGGCTAGGAGGAACCTATGTGAGCCGGTGGCAGCGGTGATATGATCTCATAGTCTATTTGATAAGCTCTTTCCATCTATGAATGTTAAACAGGCATAATAATACCCAACTCTTCATAGAAATGCTATTTCTATGAAGTAGTAGATAATATCTATAGATTACTTCAAGCCACAAAAACATATTTAATAAGTCACCAAGTTAAAGGGAATAAAAGTAGAAGAGGTTTTTTTTTCAGTTTTTAATGTGTAATAATTTGTATTAATCCCTTAAATTTTTTTGTTATTGAGTGATTCTGTGTACACATGGTCAACAAATATTTGTTGAACACAAAGATCAATTAAATATGACTCTTTCATGAAAACCAGGAGATATGTGGGAAGTAGAATCAACAATTTAGATGAAGATTTATTCATTCATCACTCTACAAATACCTAATGAGCATCTATTTATATATTAAGTTCTGGACATAAACCATGAGCAAAAAAAATTTGGTTTCTGCCCTTATGAAACTTACAGATTCATGGATGGGACTAGACAATAAAGAGGTAAATTAAAAATAAATAATTGCCAGTTGTGATCATTGTCATCAAGGAGCAAACTGCTGTGATAGAGAATAATGCAGATAGCGATAGCAAATTTAGTACAAGTGATTAGATTCAACCTTTCCAAGGAAGTAATATTTAAGCTGAGGTTTAATGGAAGGCCCAGCAAGAAGGCACAGGAGACTTCGAGTAACGCCCCAAAGTAGGAAAGATCGTAAGAAATGGAATGGAGACTAGATATGTAGATTTTTTATTTTAGTGGCTAGATAGTTGATACTTTTTTGCAAAATAGGCAGTGCAGAAGAGGAAACAAGTGGTGGGGGAGTGATTTCACTTTGGAATATGTTGAATATGAGTTGCCCATACACATCCAGGTTGTGTTTAACAAGCAAACACAAAAGTCAGGAGCTTAAGAGAAAGGTACCAGTGTGTCAGTTCTCATGGAGGGAATTCTCTGAACCTAAAAAATTAGATATCATCAACTAAGTGCTATGAGATAAAGCTGGAAAAGTTGGAGAGATCGCCCAAGGAAAAATGTGTAGACTGTTATGAAAGAGAAAATTTTGGACATGCTAAGCAAGAAGAAACCAAGAAAAAGCAACTAGAGAAATAAAAGGGAAATTCTGGGGAAATAATGTTATAAAAGCCATGAAGGGAAAATAATTTTAAATAAGGATACAGTGTCACAAAAAAATAAGGATAAGTGATACTCAACTTCCCTGGCAGCCTCAGCAAGGCCTTCCCCTTCCCCCAGAGTGGGGCTGGGCCACAGCCTGCCTGCTCCCACTCCACTTGGAAAAGTGAGGGCCATGCCCACCTGACCACCCCTCTCAAAAAAGTAGGAGAAAGTGGAGAATGGCTACAGGGAATGGTCCCTTGCTGTGGAAACTGATTTAGAGCCTGGAGCAGGCCCCAGTGGTCCAGGTGACAAAAGAGATAGTTTGTTGCCAAAAATACTGCTTCCTCCAGGAAGTTGCCAGTGAGCTGGAAATTCCCACTGTTAGAAACTGTAAGGCCTTGTTGCTATAGACACCCACCTGTCTGTGGTCAGAGCGCCATTCGGTTGCAGAAGCAAGCCAGGCTGGGGAAGTTTAGAGGAGTTCTTAATGTTTGAGCAGCTTCTAAGCTGCTCTAAGGCTCTAGGGAAACCCAGGGCACAGCCTCCATACTGCCTTACACTGTGGCTAGTATTGTTGCTCACCATGACCTCAGTAACCTCTTTTCAGAGCTTTGCTTTTATTTCCAAATAATACAAGTAGCTTCATCAAGAAAGCAACAGACACACAGAGGAAGAGACAGGGAGAATGGTTGGAAAATGACATTGAATTTGTAAGCAGTAGAAAAATCCCTGACCATAATGTTATAAAGGTTAAGAGCCCAAGCTCTGGAGCTAGACTGTTTCTGAATCCTGACTCTGCTACTTACTCTACTTAACTAGCTGTGTGGCTTTCACTCAGTTACTTAACCTCTCTAGGCCTATGTTTCTTCATCTGTAAAATGAGGCTTTCAATAATATCTGCCTCATAAGGTTGTTAAGAGGATTAAATTAGGTTTTATATATGAAATGCTTAAAACAGTACCTAGAACATAACAAGTACTTGATTAATGTTACCTGTTATACTGCCGGTATGATTATTAGTGAAAGCAGTTTCATTCAGTGTAAAAGAATGAGATGAGTGCTAGGCCTGGTGGTGTACGCATATAATCCCAGCACTCTGGAGGCGGAGGCTGGATTGAGAGCTTGGCACCAGTCCGGCCTACATGGTGAGACCCTGCGTCAACAAGAATAGGATGAAAGCCAGTTGCCGTCAGTGGCGGGATGAACTGGGGGTTGAGGAAGAGGGGACAGTTCTTTCAAGAAGCTGAGCTGTTATGGGTGAAATAAAACCTAGAGGTGAACTTAAAGCCACGAACAGGCTTTTTCTAGGAAATAGACTTAAAACTAAAGGAAAAGAACTGGTGGAAAGATTGAAGATACAAAGGGCAGGGACAGGTGATGGAACAAGATTCTGGAGGATGTAAGAGGGATTGAATAAGATCGACAGCATAGATGGCAACATCTCAGCTTTGCTTTGTTTTAGTGAGGTTTTACGTTTATTAAAGGCAGGAAAAGAAATGTGCTGGCCGAGTGAATTTGGACCAAGTAGGGAAAAAAGTACACTCTACAAACTTTAGAGAGAAAGAAACACAAAGTGCCCCATAGGGCCTTACCTCCTAGCTGGCGCTGCCAATTATGTTGCCGGGTTTTGGGGTGCTGGAGTCTCCTTCTAGAGTTGGTTTCCAGGTTCTTTCCAGCCTGAGCAAAGAATTGGTCAATGTAAGTGCAGAAGGTAGCAAGGTTTTACATTTACTAAAGGGAGGAAGAGAAACATGCTCCACAGAACAAGTTTGGGCCAAGTAAAGGTAGGAAAAAAGTATACTGTACAGCATGAGAGCAGATTACTGTGAAAGAGAACACAGTAGCCCAGAAGTCTTAGCTTTGGTTACCATCTGCTCTGAGGGAGAAAGTTTGAGAGGATGATTGCAGTTGTAAATAGTTATGCTAGAGTGAAGATGATAAATTCTAATAGCTTATGTTTTTACAGTAAGGGCATTGACTAAGGAGAAGGACAAATGTGAGAAAATGGATTAAAGTGTATCTCTGAGAGGAATGGAGAGAGATGACTGACCATGGGCAAAATAACGGTTACTCAGTGTGTGAGCTAAGACTGGAGACCATATATATGTAATGCACCATTGGTCACATGTAGACCAGTTGTGTGGGTATTTTAGGCAGCCCAGGCATGGCCTTGGGGAGGCAGAGCATTTGGTGTAGTGAGGGGATTGTAGAATCAGTGCTTCCAAAGGAGGAGAGGGTAGGAGATTGAGAGGCCTGGTGAGAGAAGTTGAAGCAAGCAAGACTGGAGTCCAAGCTAGGGAAGAAGGGAAAAACAAAAGATGAGAGGCCAGAGGTTGCACTGGGCCACAGAGCCAGTGAACCAGGTGTAGTGGACAAAAAGGAGCAAGAGGACTGGAGTAGGAGGGGAGGGCCCTCCTCAGATGGGGGATTGGTGTTTAAATGCTCAAAGCTGACAATACCTGAATGCCAGCTTGGCATTTGGCCATAGGAGTCGATGACTGAAGTAAATTCTATCCTAAAAATAGGAAGTGAAAACTAGTGGTTTTTTCTGTGATGCCAAACTTTCTGGCATTGCTTGCTCTCATTTATCCCAAATACATCCCCTAGCAGCATGTATTTTAACTGCTGAATGATTTTCAGCACTCTCAAATGAGAGAAAACAGTTGATAATTAGAACGCAACTGATCATCTACAATTCGTGTTTTTCCCTTTGACTTACCATCCATCTATAAATTCAGCCCGTTTGTTAGATGCATTGTGTTTACTGGATGCAAAAAGGAATAAAGCATAAGCTAAAGGCATACTCCTAAAAGGGAAATGCTGTATCTGGAGTATCTAGTACCAAGTGTTACTTGTTATCCATGCTTTTCTAGATTTACTTTCCTAATTTTGTTTGCTCAGAGCTTTTACTGAAAGTATTTTACTTTCACACTAACGATAATAAACTGTCAGTAAGTGTTATTTACAGTTCTTGTTATTACTTTACTGTTATCATCGCCCAATAAAGGAGATGGTTCCAAAGCACGTAAGACAGGAAGAAACCGTCAGTCGACGTGTAGATAGTTATCACAGAGAAGCCACACATTAATATTTAAAAGTTGGCTTGTGTGAGGGAGTTCTGTGTGATAGTTGTTTTCAGTAGTATTTCCTTCTGCAGTAGGGATGAGCCATTATATCTGTGTTGCCTGTTGTTAATGTTATTTGATGTTTTTAGGGATCTTGTCCATAGAACAGCTTATCAGCCGAGTAGGTGTGATTGGGGTGACTCTAATGGCTCTGCTTTCTGGATTTGGTGCTGTCAACTGCCCATACACATACATGTCCTACTTCCTCAGGTAATGCGCACTTTGTCTCTCTTCTTTTTCTTCCCTATTACTTGAATACATACGTTAAGTAGGAAAGGTGACGTATGTTTCTGAACCTGGAATCTTTCTAAGTAAGTCTTATAACTTGTATTGCCTATGTTATTTGCCCTACATTCATTTATTTTTAAATGGCAGATTTTGTCCCCTCATCCCCACTTTCTAAAGGCACATTTCTAGTGGACAGCAGTGTGAAGTATTCCCAGCTTTAGGAAATCAGTTTCCTCCTAGAAGTAGAATAGAAGACAATGCCAAGTAAAAATATGTTTAAACTTAACATCCAAAATGTCACTGAATCCAAGCTGAGAAAGAGTAAGAGAACTGATTACCCTTTGCTGCCCTAAAACCCCATAAGATCTAAGAAATATCAATGAGAGCATTTTAGCTTATTATGGTCATTTTAATGTTTTCTAGAAAAAGCCAGGTCCTTCAGTTACTGGCTAATAATTAGGATTTGTATGTTTCTCCAGGTGACTTGTGACAAGCCCAAGGGTCAGAGCCCAAAACCTTGCTAACAGTTTATACTTCTTGCAGGAATGTGACTGACACAGATATTCTAGCCCTAGAACGGCGACTGCTTCAAACCATGGATGTGATCATAAGCAAAAAGAAAAGGTAAGAGCAGCACATGAAAGAACTTGTATTCTGTTAGAATTTCTCAACAAAATTTGACTATTTGGTGCTAGCAAGTAATTTCATCTCTTTTTTTTTTAGTATGTGTTTGCAGTTCATGCAGTTTACAGTCATCTTGGGGAGTGGTCACATATACATATCACATTGTTTTTCTTTAATCCCTTTCCCCTTGCCTCCCCTCCCCTCTCCCCTCCTCCTCAGGTTCCCCTATCCCCTTTTGTGTATTTGTTGATATTATTTGCCTTAGCTCATGTTATGTTATATAGTGTTTACATTAATTGGGGTTATTAGGTTCCTGAACATGGCACATCTTTATTCCTTTCATTTCCTCTTCCCTTCTTCCTCACCTCTCACCTTTTTTCCCTTGAACCACTTCCCAATTGCAAGAGATCCATCCTTTTGTCCCTTTCTATCCATCCTTTATCGTTTTCTTTGTTTGTACTTTGCCTTGCTCAAATGAGAGATACCATATGGTATTAAACTTGTATGTGATTTATTTCATTCAACGCTCTATTTTCCAGGTGCATCCATTTTCTTACATGTGTCTCCAGTATGTCATTCTTTATAGCCAAGTGGTATTCCAGTATATATAAATACCACATTTTCTTTACCCAATCATGTTGCTTGGTATAGAGGCTGCTTCCAAAATTTAGCTATTACAAATTGTGCGGCTATAAGCATTGCCATGCATGTATCGCCATAGTATTAGGACTTAAATTCTTTGGGGAAGATACCTAGCGGGGGGTGGGGGGCATAGCTGGATCATATGGAATTTCTAATTTCAATTCTTTTGAGAAATATCCATACTGATTTCCATAATAGTTGTACTAGTTTGTGTTTCCACCAACAATGCAGGAAGCTTCCTTTTTTACCACAGCAGCACCAGTAATTGTTACTGTTTGATTTCCTAATGATTGCCATTCTTACCAGAGTAAGATGGAATCTTAGTGTTATTTTAATTTGCATTTCTCCAAGGGCCAGAGATGTTGAACATTTTTGCATGTACTTGTTGAACATTTGTATTTCTTCCTCTGTGAAGTATCTGTTCCATTTCTTGACTGGGTCTTTAATTTTAAGTGGTATAATTTTTTTGAGTTCTTTGTATATTCTAGATATTAGTTCTCCGTCTAAGGAGTAGCTGGCAATTTTTTTTCCGTTCTGTAGGTTGTCTCTTCACTCTACAGATTGATTCTTTTTCTGTACAGAAGATTTTTATTCTGATATAATCCCATTTGTTGAATCTTGCTATTTCTTGTGCGATTGAGGTTCTGTTTAGAATCCTTTCCTACACCTATGTCTTCAAGTGTTTACCTATTTTACCTTCCAGAAGGTTTAACATTTCTGTTTTAATGTTTAGATCTTTGATCCATTTTTATTTTAATTTAGTGTATGGTGAGAGATAAGGGTCCAGTTTCATTCTTCTACAAACAGATAACCAGTTTTCCCAGGACCACTTGCTTAATGGGCTGTCTTTCCTCCAACATTTGCTTTTGGACCCTTTGTCAGAGATCAACTAGTTGAATATGTCTGGGGAAGTTTCTGTATCCTCATTTCTGTTCCCTTGATCCACATGTCTGTTTTTGTTCCTGTACCATGCCTTTTTTATCACTGTTGTTTTGTAGTATTGCTTGAAGTCAGGTATTGCTATGCCTCTTGGTTTGCTCTTATTGCCCAAAATTACTTGTCCTATTCTGGATCTCTTCGGGTTCCATATAAATTTTAGGATTGTTTTCTCTAGATCTGTAAAGTATACTGTTGGTATTGAATCTGTGTAACAGTTTTGGAAGTATGGCTATTTTGACAATACTGGTTCTGCCTATCCAGGAGCAAGGGACATCTTTACATTTTCTGATGTCCTCTTCAGTCTCTTTCTTCAGAGTACTGTAGTTTTCTTTGTAGAAGTTTTTCACTTTCCTGGTTAGGTTAATTTCTAGATATTTCATTTTCTTGAAGTGACTATAATGTTATTGTTTTCATAATTTCCTTCTAATCCCGTTCATTGTTGGTATACACAAATGCTAATGATTTTTGTGTGTTCTTATATCCTGCTACTTTGCTGAAGTTGGTTATTCTAAGAGTTTTTTGGTGGAGTTCTTTGGTCTTCTTTTTGGTTTTTTGGGTGTTGTTGTTGTTGTTGTTTGGGTTTGGGTTTTTTTTGGTACTGGGGATCGAACTGGGGACCCTGCACTTGTGAGGCAGGTGGGTCTTTGTTCTATGTAGAGTATCATGTTATCTGCAAATAACAATAATTTAAGTTTTTCCTTTCCTATATATATCTCTATCTTTTATTTCTTTCTCTTGCCTAATTGCTCTGGCTAACGTTTCAACTACTGTGTTGACTAGAAGAAGTGATAGTGGACATCCTTGAATTTTAAACTCTTTTCTTATATTTGGGAAATTTTCTTCCATAATTTCTGTAACCATGTTAGTGAATCTATCAGTGCTATCTTGTAGTTTTTCTCTAACTCTCATTAGCTTTAGATTGGTCTTCTCATTGTCATCTAGTAGCTGCTTGATAGTTTTCTCTTGTTCTCTTATTTTCTTTTTGGCTTCTTTGAGCTCTTTATCATAATTCACTATTTTGTCCTCAGTATCAGACGCTCTGTCTTCACATTGGTCATTTCTGCAGTATATGAATTCTATACTGTTTTTTATTTCAGGTATTTGTCTGACATCTTTTCGAGGATTTCATATTCTTGTTGAATCTCTCATTCAAATTTTGAACTCTCTTGATTATCTCCTCCAATTTTTTATCTATTTCCCAAAAATTCACCATGGGCATATTGAGTGTAATTGCTGTGAACTTTTGGTTCATTTCCTCTTTGAACTCATCTATTTTCTTCATCCCTTCTATGAACTTTTCATAGTTTTTACTACCTGGTATTTGTTTGCTTCTCCCTTGTGATCACTTGCTCTGCCTAGGGGGAGTTTAGGGGGTGAGAAAATCTTCCATTTCCTTGTTTCTTCATTCTCCTACTTATATTTGTGCTTATTCTTTTTAAAAAATTTTATGTGGCCCCCTCTTTTTCTGCCTGGGTGAGGTTACTGCAGGCTGGGTATAGGAGACCTGAGGAGAGTTTATGGCTTATATGGAGCTTTTTAGTAGGATGTTGCCTCCCTATGAATAATTTTCAGCTTTGTATTGCAGTGCTAGTATTTACTCCTTCTGTTATCTGATTTCAACTCTGTCCCTGTGTTTGGCCAAAAGAATTGATTTTATTTATAACAGCATTCACAGATTCAGTCTTACAACTATATGATAGTCCTTGCAGTTACTCTTCCCCCCTTTGTCTATTCTCCATGCACACTGTGACAGTTTATTATGTGTGGTTCCTCAGCAGTGAGGTAGGTGAGGTGGGGAGGGGAGAAGAGGGGTGGGTGTTTGGATGAATAGTGTCAGGCCCTGAGAGAGAGGTTTGAAAGGAAGACTAGTGGTAGATGAGAAGAAAAGATTAACGTGGGTTCTGATTTTATTGGAATTCTTTTAGTTGAGCTGAAGGTTTAATATTGAGAGTTTTCAGAGGATATTTTGTGGGGCCAAGGGTGAGATACAGGGGAAAGGTGGTTCACTTGTGATTGAGGAAAGCTATGTGGTTATCAGCACTTGCTGATAGGGAGGACAGTAAGCTAGGTAAAATATGGAAGAGCCAAAGGCTTAGGATGGGGAAGATCGAGGAATTAATACTAGTGAGGATAGGAGTGAGTATGAGGGGGCTGAGTATGGCAAATTTTAAAACTTGGGAGATGGAGTTTACATGATTGGAAAAAGAATAGAGATATATGTTAATAATAATGTCACGAGGGCTTAAGGTGAAGAAACTAGATAAAGAGCTGAGACGAGGGAGAGAACCTAGACACCTATTAAATCTGAGCCAATGAAAGACTATACGTTACTAAATAACTCAAGAAACATACAAAAACTTAAGCCAATAATCTGTTTTCCAATAGATATCCCAGTGAGACATTGCTTCTTTGCCATAGTGTTTGAGTGTTCAGCTCCTCTGATCCCTCCACTACAAAACGGGGGTTAGCTCAAACTCGGAACCTCTTTCTGCCAGGTTGCAGGCATTCTTGCAGAGTCTGATCCAGTCCGAGCTCTCAGGTTAGGAACTCACTGTCCTTCTCCCTGTGTAGTGGTGGATTTGGCAGATAAGTTCAGTAACACTAAGTTGTCCATTGAGTCAGGATTATTCCTATGCAGTCAATCCAACTATAGCAGTAACAGGCTAATCCGTTACAGGGGTGTCTATCAGGGCTAGTCAAGAAACAACATACCATAAAACCCTGTTTTGGGTCTCCCTTTAGAAGTGGAAACAGCGCCAATGTGAGCCTCCAATCCTGTGTAACTCCAGGCTGAAACTGGTGTCTGATTGCGGGAACCTAGCCTGTGATCAGCAGTCCCTGCCTGTCAGCAGAACCCCCTCCAGTCTGTTCTCTAACTACCAGCGGTCTCCCGTGACTGTCCTTCCCTCATGTACTTGGCAGTGTGAAGCTGCCAGCACCCAGCCAGCCCTTCCCCACAGTGGCATCCCTGCCATCTCCTGCTCTGTGCAACTGTGTCTAACACTTGTACCACAGTCACCAACCATTGCCTCTGGAGGGCCACTCAGGCAGCAGTGTCTCAGGTTCTTCCCACTGTCTCTTAACTGCTCCCGATGCAGTTTTCTGTGAGAGAAAAGTTACTAGTTTCACTTTGCTTCCTAGCTGGCAGCCAACCACTGCCATCCACAGCGCCATAGTTTCTCCTCTGTGGTGTGGGCCACCTCTTCTGTATCACTTCATTCTATTTTCTTCTCCTCTATCAGTTGCCTGTCCTTGTTCCTGTGTACCCTCCCTTCATTTCAGTTCCTCTCCAAGCCACTGTCCTCCAGAACTAGTCACTTTGTCGTGGAGAAGCAGAACTGCTGGCACTCACTGCTCCGCCATCTTGTCTCCCCTCATTTTTATTATGGAGTAAATTATTATCAAAGAGTTAGTGTCTACTCTTACTCTTACATGAAAGAAAACATTCAAATTTGACCTTATTTCCTGAATTTAGGTATTTCTCTTTAGATAAGTTGTTAGAATAACTTATATTTGAAGACTAGACTTTTTTTTTTTTTGCTTGAATTCCTTTATTGGTACATTTTAGGTGTACAATTCATTTACATTCATCATTGGGTGCTTGTACCTGTACATGATGAATCTTGATTCTTATTTTTTCCCCATTACCTGTGCGCCCTTCCCCCCCTCCACCCTTCCCTATTTACATAGACTTTGTTTCCATTTTTTTCTTTTCTCATAATTTTTGCTTTCCCTTCTTTCCTTTCCCCTTCCCCTCCCACTTCCCCTACCTACCCCTTTGGACCTTATAATTTGAAATAGGAAGAATAGGTTTTATAAAATATATTGTTCTACATTTTAAAAAACCTTTTCATGGCCAGGGATTTAGCTCAGTGGTTTCACCGCCTGCTGCGCAAGCCCAAGGACCCGAGTTCAATCCCCAGTACAAAAAATAAATAAATAAAAATAAAAAAACCTTTTCATGCTTGACGTACATCTTTAATTTTCTTTTCTTCTACTACTTAAACTCCTTCAGGTCTTCTGGTCATTTTTATTATCAAAAAAGTACTTTAAAAATAAACAAGAAATGATCAAAAAATATAGTTAGTGTTTAAATTTTTTAAAGTTATTACCATAGAAGATACATTGCCATCAACACCCCTCAAAATCCTCCCCCTTGCTTCAAACACACTTATCCCATCATTCTTGCTACTTTCTGAAGCAGTTCTGGAAGTCCTTTTTCATGAGTGTCTTTACGAGGTATGATCAAAACCTTAGTGAATGCTGCTGCTGAGTGCCATAACAGCAGAAAGGCAGTCTTATAGAAACATTATAATGTATCTCTATCCACCTGTTTAACAGAGGCACCATGCAACTTCTGGCTCTCCTCCAAACTCAAAGTCACTATGAGCAGTTGACATTTTGAATTGATTCAGGACGTGAAGGCAGCTATGACAGCGCAACTGGAGACAGGAAAAGACTTCCAAAACTGCATCAGAAAGTGGCAAAAGGAATGATGGGACAAGTGTATTTGAGGGGAAGGGGAATATTTTGAGGGGGTTTAATATCAATGTGTCTTTCATATAATAAATTTTTTAAATTTACATATCACATGTTTTGCTCGCATCTCATTTGTTTTCAGAGTGGGATGTCATAGAAATCTGTATCATGGTAGACAGACATGCTTTGAAATCAGACTGTCTGACTTGAATCATTGATCTGCACATTACACTGTGGCCTCACCTATAAAAATGAAGACAATAATATAGTAAGACTTGTAGAGCCCATAGAACAGTGAGCCACACCTCGCTGAGGACAACTACTGAGCTTATTAATAACCTTTGCAGGATAATTTGGTTTTCATATCTTGCCTTTGGAAAGTGGATGAAACTGGGCTTTAAGAGTCTGTGCTTTCTTGATAAGGTTTTATGTGTTCTTTTATTTCAGGATGGCAATGGCACGGAGAACTATGTTCCAGAGGGGAGAGGTGCATAACAAGCCATCGGGATTCTGGGGAATATTAAAGAGTGTTACTACTTCAGCTCCAGGAAGTGAAAGTATCCTTTATCCTTCTGCTTGATTCTTTCTATGCTCTGGAGCAAGGGCAGAACAAAATAGTCTTGGGGTAATCCCTTCTAAGGTGCCTGACCGCGTCAGAGTCCAAACTGGCCAGGGCTAGGCTTAGGAAATACAATGTGTATTAAGTTATCTTTGCAACACCCCTAAAAGATCATAACACCATTTTCTTTGAGCTGACGAGGTCTTAAAAAGTCAGTATTTCCATTTTATAGGTGAGAAAATTATCCCAGAGGGTTAAGTCATACCATAGTTTTGTGGCAACTCTAGAAACAGAACTATGGCCTCCTCTTCATAGTTCTTTCCACTACACTGTTATATTTCTCAACCCTGAAGAAACACCACAAAACGTAATGGCTCACTAAAATAGATGGTTTGTGTTTGGTGTGGTAAGTGCCCATTTTTAAGTATCTCTGCTTCTCCAGCAATTTTTTGGTTCAAAAGTCAAGATGATTGGATTAATAGATTGTTCCTGGCCTACCTAGTTTAAATGTGTTGAACTAATTCGCAAGTTGAATAATCAAATTGCTATGTGGCTCCCAGGCTATGAGTTTAAAACTATCAAGGACTAAGAATCAGACATATACTCGCTTTCTTCTCTGGACTAGGGAAATACAGTCCCTTTTGTTTCAGTTGAAGGAGAAGGATATAATGTATTGGTACGAATTATGACTTAGGTCCTTCTGGTATCAAACTCATAAGACTAAGGCCAAAGAAAGGCAAGATGATGATGGCAGAGAAAGAAAAAGGAATAATTTAATCCCAAAACATTGACTTCATGTCTCCTATTCCCAGGCAAAGTGCTAAGTGATAGAGGGGTGAGTAGAGTACTATATAACCTCTCCTTAAGGAGAGACAGATGTCACTAGTTCAGTCCTGTTGTTAGGTGGTTTAGATGTTCCCAAGCACAGCCACTGTTGAGGAAGGAACTAAGAACATTTGTTGATTTTGGTAATAATAGGAAAAGTCACTGGAGGAAGATTTGGATTCAAGTCAAAGGTTCTGTTTTAGAAGGGGCTGTCTTCACTGTTTTTATTACTTAAAAGTCCATAAAAACAGGCCCAGGGATTTAGCTCATGGGTTCCGCCACCTACCTCGCAAGCACAAGGTTCCGAGTTTGATCCCTGGTACCAAAAAAAAAAAAAAAAAAAAAATCCATAGAAACCAAATGTGTAATTTTAAGCTACTTAGTAAGTTAACAGATGCATCAAATGATTTAACCTCTCT